CTTTAGATACCTTAATTTGGGGGGTGTCGCATATCTATTCTTATTTAAAGCACTGTTAAAAAGCTATCGCCACGTAATGGAGTAGATGTAGTTGGCAGATTCCTTATCTTTGAAAGTTTACAAGAAAAGTGGTCACTCCCGAAACTAAAGTTCTCTAGCACCTACTGTGCTCCTAACTAGTGATCATTGTTTGACATTTTTGCGAATCTAAAATGCAGTATAGTTCTAGATGAGTTAACTTTATATCAAAATTTTAAACACCAACAATTCAGTTTAAGTGTGTGTGTGTGTGTGTGTGTGTGTGTGTTAAAGATTAAAAATTAAAACTGTGGAAGAGTGCCATGGTGGAATACACGAATAGTGACAAAACAAGCTAATCGCCAAGTGTTGATAAACCTCCCACAGTTCAATCAAGCTTCTCCGATAAGTCCTGCTAATGCCAAAGATAAACAATATATTAGAACCAGTAAACGTTCTAAACGGTAAAATTTTTATTCTTTCTTTACTAAGAACACGTATACTTTTATAGTTTGTTTTCTTAGCATGCTATATTTTCTTCTTATATTACTGTTTACCATGAAAGTAACTTAATAACAATTAAGTTTAAAATGGACGTTACCACTGCCTCCAACTCTTCTGTTTAGCAGAATGTGCGCTTTTTTTTTGTCTTAATATCTCGACGATTTTCTTACACTTAACCCTATTTCATGCTTTATTTTAGCTTAACTACACCTAAATAAAATCTTAACTACTTTTTAATAGAAATAAGCAAATAGATAATATTCAACATTAACATTTATTTATATATTTTGATGTAATAAGTAAGTTAAACTTTATAAAAGATTAATTTTCATGTCTTTAAAACGTTTCATTTACTTTGTTGTTGTTAAGCCCAAGTAGGCTATCTGTGCTGTGCCCACAGCGAGGATCGAATTCCGAAATTTAGCGATATAAGCTCCCAAGCTTATCGTTGAGCCACCAAGTGACACTTGTAATGATGATTTTGCAATATTTAGGATTTAAAATAACAGATTATTCTACACCTTTTAAGTTCGTTAAGAATTTCAGTCTAGTTTTGACAAACAAGTAAACAAGAATAAAAGCGTTACTCTACACATAGATAATGCGGCTCATCTGTATAAAGTAGAAACATGATGTAATTGTATACAAACAAATCCTAACGGGCATGGCGCTTTGGTAGCAGTAACTGGGATATCTTTTTCTGAAATAGAAACGACTTGAAATGTATACCTTTTTTTTTTTAATTACGAATGTCTTGCATCGTTTCTAATATTTACATTTTATAACCAAAAAGAAAAGATATATCCAAGTAGATATAGTCCATACTAACTTAACACGCAATTTCCACATTGATCGTGAACTTTGATCAGGAACACTATACCTAACTACCTTGAAATTTTAGAAAAACAAACCAACTTAACAAATTTGGTAAAATATTATACGGTTTAGAGATGCACAAGCAAGCAAGAAAAAAAAAATCTCTTTATATATATTCCATGTGAAATTTTCCTCTCTGTACATACATCATTTAGGCCGGGCGTTACCTAGTCGATAACATATCCAAGCTGTAAATACAAGTATTCATGGTTCGCGATCTGTTGTCGCAAAAACGCACTTTGTGGCCAAGGGTGCGCTGTAAAAGTGACAGTCAAGTCCAAGAATATCACAAAAGTTAACGGTTGGTGCTATTGACTAGCTGCCTTTCTTTCTAGTGTATCACTTCATAATCAGACTGTTATTTGCAAATATCTATAGCGTTGCTTTGCGCGAAAATTATAAAAACATACATACATTATCTACAATATATATATTCTTATTACAATAGTTTAGAACAGCAAGTATTATCAATAATTATTTATTCGGTACTATAAACAGCATATAGTTGTTTTTAGTTCAAAAGAGAGTGAAGATACTTAACCTTATTAGTCTAAGAAGTTTTCACGGAAGAGGTTTACTTGTTTTCATCAAAAAGCGAATAATTTGTATTTTATAATAGTACATTGACAGGAACGAACGTGATTAAAGCATTTGCTGTATCTGTACTTTGTTTTTATCGTGTTCTTAAACACAGATATAGTTCAGTATTGATAAATTTAAAATTTATTTTTATCCGATTTATAACGATTAAATTATTTAAGATATATTTTGAACGCTTCTCGTCTAGCTTTATAGCACAAAGCAAAAACTTCCTTTGCAGTGACTCGGATGGAAAATATAAGAGTTAAACATAATGTTTTATAATTGATAAGCATAATAAGTTATACTCAAACATAAAAAAAGCATAAAGAAGAACTACTAAAGTAATACACAGATGAGGAATTTTATTTATGAAAATATTCTTTAAAGTCTTGAATATGTTATTCATGGAATTTCAAAGAGAAGTCATTTGAGTTTGTTTTTCACGAGTTGTTTCAGAGTTGACTGAATCGCGAAGCGAATAGTAAAGCAAATAAGCATAAGGATTAGAAAGTGTAGATTGAGATTCTTATGGACAGGGTTCTTTCTTAATTAACCTAAGACAAGTGTAGGAATTTGCTTAACATTTGTTGGATATACACGGTATGGGAACGTTTACGATATAACTTCGTTTCTGATTGTTGGTTTGGTGCCGTGGGTGATCTCAATAGACACCCAAAGATGTATGAAGTTATTAAATAAATTCGTTTTACAAAGGCCTGCCACGGCCTTATAACTAGGGCACTCAAATTCGAATGTGAGGGTCGCAGGTTCGAATCTCGTCCCAGAACATGCTCACCTTTTCAACTGTTGGAACGTTATAATGTGACGGTCAACCCAGTTATTCATTGGTAAAGAGTAACCCAAGAGTTGGTGGTGGATATCGTTGACTAGCCGCCTTCCCTTCATCACTAATAGATTAGTAATGACTAGTACAAGTAGCTTTGCGTGAAATACAAAACCAAGTAATTTACAATATCGTAGTTTTCGCATCAAAAGCATTTATCATGTCTAAGGAATTTTGTTTTCTATCAGTCTTCGATAAACTATACATATAGAACATTAAATTACATTAATTTTTCATTTGAATATATTAACTACTAGAGCCCTCAGTGGCCCAGCCATAAGTCTGGGGCTTATAACGCTAAAATAGAGCCTACTGCATAGATTTGTGCTTAATAACAAACTACTCGAATTTAAGGCTATTTACTTTTAATTTTGCTTCTAATGACTTAGTTACCCAATATATCGTAATGGAAAAATAAACAAGTGAATAAATTTTTAAAAAAACAACACAGATTACATCGTTACTCACTCAACCTAACTTTTTAAAACTTTAAAATACTTTTTTCTATATACATACAGCCTATTTAACACTTCATGCCCTCTACCAACACAAATTACAAGGTTTTTAAAAACAAGTCAACAATTTACTTATATTTCAATAAAAACACGGATTGTCAACTCACTATCACAAATGCTTACTTTCATTACAGTTCCTTAACATTACTGGATGTACTTCCGCAAGATCCCCGAAATTATTCTGTTTCAAAAGTAAATAAAACCAAAATTACGAGTAGCAAATATTTTCACTGTTGCTTTAGAAGTTCATATATAATGTTGTGTTGTAGCCTTACAGAGTACACAATTCTTCTCGTGATTCATGCCATGCGCACGTTTTACTGACTAAAACTAATTTCTTCTTTTTACGTTAAGTAATAACTATTTAATGAAAATTATATCACGATATCTATGCTGTATTGTAACTAACTTATCATTAAGAAGAATAAGTTTTTTTAACATTAACTAGAGACCCATGATAGCTCAGCAATAACTTGAGGCATAGGCGTCCCCAGAAATTTTTCCGGGGGGGTGGGTGGGTGTCATGTGAACTTGTGAAGTGAAAAACAAAAAATTTGTAAATCCATATACATAAGCTGTATAAATAACGAAAGTTATATTTCTCATTTTCCAGGTGGCAAGTGCCCCCTTACTCCCCTCCTTTTACGCAAAAACAAACAACTGTTAACTAGTTATTTTTCTTTACTGAATGATTTATTTTTCTTTGCCCAGATTGACTTATTTACCGAACAGTCTCGTCATATTCAGTTTAACTAGTTACTTGTTTCAGGTTAAACGGCGAAAGGTAGCGAAGCATTATTAAAATAGACAGATTAAATGGAATGTGGTAAAGAAATTCTACACTACAGTTTAAGTTATTATATAAGTTATTATCATAAATTTTATGCCTATTAGTTAATAGTTTATTCATTGAAAGTACACTCGCTTTATTTACATCCACCAGTGACTAATTAAGCTACTAAAAATGACCTCGTTTTTTAATGTTGACTAGGTACCATTTCATTTAGTGAAATCGTATTAAATTTTCTGACTCAAACTGTACGATTACATAGCGCACGTCATAAGGTAACGTGTAATGACAGCCGAAATGCGATTAGAAAACAGATCATTTTTAAACCATGCCATTCTTCGAGAAGATCGAGATTGATATAAGAATAGAATAACGATAGCGATGATTTGTGCAGCACAGAGTTCTCTCATAATTTCATGAAAAATTGTATAACATAAATTTCTTTTCGTCCATATCATAAGAACTTTAAAAAAAAATGTTAATATGTATTAGTTTTATTTTGCAAGCTTTTCAATAGAGTCCAGATGATAAAGTTTGTCTAAATCTCTATTGTTCATATATGTTCTACATTATCTCGCAGTTCGCCTGCTGTATGCAGAAGTAAATATTATTCTAAATAAAATAGCTTCAGGCAAGTTCTCTACGAAAGACGACAAAACTGTTGAATGTTTATAAGCTACTTTATATTTACTGCCATCATACAAAGCTGAAAAAGTTTAATTTATATCATGTAGCTAATTGAATTATAAAATGATTGCCATAAATCTGCAAACTTTTTATTTCATTCGGTTCAATGTCATAGTATAAATACTTAGCCTAACTAGTTAACTACCAGCAAGGTGACTGGGATAATTTAATGGTATCTACTTACAGTAAGTATCCTTGGCTAGTGTTTCGACCACCTCACTTTTTAGTTTGCTGTGTTTCTTCCCCATTGACAGAACCCGTTATGTTAGATGATAGCACTTGTAATCTTACCAACAAAAACACATTTCATAAGTTATTACTTCCCTTCCCTTTACCTCTCTTACCTTCAAGCATCTACATCAAGAATGAAAAACTCAACAGCATATATATCTAATATTTATTTGCATGCCATCTAGTGGCAACTAAGAGAGATATAATCCATTTTGAACGTTTAATTTTAAATGTACTCGATAAAACATTTGACATGACAATAATAATAATAATAAACTAGTTCGAATAGAAACGAAAAGATCAGCTGATGAAAGTTAGAGATCAGATGTAAGTAACACAGAGAAATCGACCAAAAAGTGAGTAGAACTAATACATTCTCCCAAATTATATTTTGATTAGCTGTCAAGTTTTGGGTGGAAAAAAAGACAAGGCGCGAGTTAATCACTATTTTTTGTATTTTAACAAGTTAAGACTTCATACAGAAAACCTCTATTTTTACTTTGACTTTTCACTACTTTCCTCTTTCATATTCACAAGTGGATATTTGTTGTATATTAAGATATTAAATGTCATAAAGAAAACTATATCTTTTACAAATGCCCCCCCAGTGTCTCACCGGTAAATCACTAGGCTTATAACGCTAAAAATTGGGTTTCGATACCCATGGTGGGCAGAAAACAGATAGCCCATTGTGTAGCTTTATATTTTAAAACAACCCAATCTTTTCAAACTTGCCGTTTGGCTTTTCTTTATAATGCTAGAGATCTGTTTATTTTTCTTTCTTTCTTTTTTTTGCGATATTAGAGCTTTTATAAAATAATTTTTTCAAAGCTTGTATTTTTGCTTTCCTTGTAAAATTACAAACCGATTTTTATAGGTTATTTTCATATGATCCTAAATAATAAAACCCAGTAAGTCCATTTAAGTGCATTTGATAAACCCATTAATTATAAGTCCATCTTTTGCAATAGATGTAGTGATCTACATTAAGCCCTCTGAATATTGTGTCACGAGATATTTACAACAATTGCCGGGATTTTCACTGCTGTCTTTAGACATAATTACATTCTTGTGGGTTATAATTCTCGTCCTCACGATTTGCGTATCCTCACTTGAGCAGCACACGATTGAGTGAATGATTTGGGCTGCATTCTTTCTCTCTCTCTTTACCTTAGCTCCATAGAAATCTTCTGAAAAAGTTTCAGAGATGAATTTTATGCTTATTTCGCCTACCAGCACACTGGAATAACTAAATAGGAAACAAACAGATGATAGAATAAAGACACACAAAAGGACAAGTATAGTTAAAACCGCCTAGGCGACGAAAATATCAAAATTGAATATTATGTTGAACAATCGCCAAGTTTTATATATATTTTTTTATACATAAAAACTTGGCGATTGTTTAACCTATTATTTAATTTAGTATAAAGAAACATACCCGAACTCCATCTAGAGACTCATACGTACAGCGACCCCATAGTGCTGTGTTGGACGCTCCGGGTGAACATGATGTTATCAAAATGGACATAAACAGTCCGATGACTCGTATTTTTTATATCTCCTGACTCACGGTATTGCTACAAATATCCTCAAATTAGGACTGACGACAGTAATGAGAGTCAGTTACGAAACAGTTTCTTATTGCTAACTCGAAACTTACAAGAAAAAAAATAATTTAGGTAATTGCGAAGTACACAAGCCAATAATTTCATTTTCTTTAATCTATTTTATCAAGTATATTACGTGAATAATATTTTACATAAAATGGACATTGTGTATAATCCATCTATCTGCCTTTCTATCCATAAAGTTAACACTTACAATCTTGTTTCATAAAGGTACATAAAATCCTTCTACTGTCTTTCGTCTGCCATGATAAATGTTTATAACCTTATTATTCTTCAAACCAACACCCCGGGGGCGCTTAGATACCTCTTCTAAGTTTTGCAACAGCTCCGTGACTTCTTTGTTCAATACTGTATATAAATATATACATCTCCGTGTCAGTGTAAATTACTTGTACCTGATGATGACAAAACCTTGTCGAAACGTTGTACATTTGCTGTTATGTTAAACTTAT